CTCCCATACAAGGCCTTAATATATTGTAAATGGGTTAAAAAACACCTTTTGAATTTAAAAAATTCATTTTAACTTTTTAAAAGTCGTGTCAAACAGATCCTTAATATTCCTTAAATAAGTTGATAGTACTTATACAATTCACGAAATATATAAATAGAAAGTGATATAACTTTTAGTAGTATTTGCGAACAGTCGTCCAACAACTCGGAGTTCAGAAATATTATGATAAACAATTGGTTATAACTTCTGCAACACATTTTTTTTATGCAAAAGATTCTTTTACAAGTTAATTAATTATTTTAAAAAAAAATTTAACTCACGTTTTACTATCAGAACATTTCCAAGAGGCTCTTTAAACATGAGATACTCTCTATATTAAAGACTCAACATTTAAAATCATATTTCAAAAGATTCTTTAAATTAACATTTTAATTTAGAGAGTGGGTTTGACTCTCCAAATTTGGAGAGCCAAACTCACTCTGTATAATTAAATGTATTTAAAGTGTTTCAATTTTCAATGTATAAAAACAATAGAATAATCTAAAAAAAATCTAATTAAAATAAAATATTAAAAAATAATACTTATTTTTTGANTTTTAATTTAGAGAGTGAGTTTGAATCTTCAAATTTGGAGAGTCAAACTCACTCTCTATAATGAAATGCTTTAAATGTGTTTCAATTTTCAATGTAGAAAAATAATAAAATAATTTAAAGAAAAAATAGTTAAAATAAAAAATGAAGAAAAATAAGAAATATTTTTTGGGAGTAGCAAAATTAAGTGTTCAATATAGAGACCTTATTGGAGTACTTCAAAATTTTAACTATCTAAATTTATAGATGCTCTCCAAATGATAAAATATGCTTTTTAAAAGTAGTCTCTTGGAGATGCTCTCAAAGAATTTAAGATGGCGATACGATAACTAATGACACGCTAATACGTCTTAAGAGACATTTTAACTCTTATGACAATTTTTTAATTTTATGGTCAGATTATGTTTAGATAGTAGCAAGTTATATTTTTCAATTGCATTTTTTCTCCAAAAGAATGTTATATTTATGTCCCACAATTTTGTCCACTCGTAGTCGTTTGAATTCATCACCGTCTCAATTTCTTCTTTTAGACT